TCCTTCCCATAAAGAAGAGACGGGAAGAGGCAGGAAGGGTTTATTGGTCCTCGGGGAGCAGCCTCCCGCCCGACACTATATCATGCCGCCTCTATCTGCTATACATCTACCTACATGCTACCTATGTGGGTACACGTGGCAACGGTTTTGTGCATTTTCCTGGGCACAAAATTGTAAGGAATAATAAATAAATTTTCTCATTTTTACAAAAAATTACTTGTAAATTGACTATCAATAAGCGGTACTTTTGTCATCCTTTATTGAATAAAGATATTTCACTTCATTTCAGAGAGCAAATGTAATGCAGAGCAAATTTTTCCTAATGAGAGGCCCCGAGGTCTATAGGTCGCTACCCTACGTTATAGTGACTAAAACAACCGACACTATATCATGCCGCCTCTATCTGCTATACATCTACCTACGTGCTACCTATGTGGGTACACGTGGCAACGGTTTTGTGCATTTTCCTGGGCAAGAGTGAATAAATATAGGGTTAAATAACACACTCAGCAGTTAACAAATTTTATCAGAAATTTTTCTTTGGAATATGAAAAAAGAATGGGAGAAACAATTAGATCTCCAATACTAAGTGACGAACTTTTTCAACACGTTTGTATAGGAGCTCCAAATTTTTGTATTTCATATTTCGAATAAAAGTTTGTAATAAAAGTTGTTTAGTTTTGAGTGCAGAACACGCCCTTAAAATATTTGTGCCTATATAATAAAAGTAACTTAAGTAACCTTGCATGCTATTTATTCAAATATCTACAAAATGATCATGTAAGATAAAAAAATACCACATATTATTATTGGCAATCAATAAAAAAATATTGTCTACGTTTATATTCGACAATTGTGTATGTTCAACATATTTTGTGTTAGAAACTAAAGAACAGCGTGTTGTAACGTATTTCATTCCTGAACCACAAATATTAACCTCTTGATAACTTCACCTAGAGCTGGTAACAAACAGTGTTACCATTAATAGGTATCAAGATATTACGACCGAATATTCGGTGCGGACCCAAAATCGTGCAGTCTCGAAGACGCCCAGATACATTATTAATACCGGTAATCTCTATTTGCGTCGGTGCCATAACTTCAAATGTAACCGGTAGTTCGCTACTCTCGACTGGGGTTACCACAAACTGGTGTGGTTGGAACGACTTATAGATCGATGGACTGGTGCATAATTTGGGTGCAAGTTATACGCGATAAAAAATATATAGTCGAAAATGTTTATCACAAAATCTGCAGTAAATATTTGGCATCAGGAATTGTCATGTGCGTGACAATCTATCCATCCATGTCAAACTTAAAAAAAAAAAACATATTTCTATCCTGCTCTTAGATGACGTCTGATCTTCATTTGTCGCGGCGCCACACAAAGTGCATTATCTACATAAATAACTGTCGCACGCACGCGGCGAATAGTCCTTTAATAGGTAGAGCCGAAAGTCAATTCAGTTCTACCTACCTGTTAATGACTTTACTTTAAATTTACATCATTCTTCGCCACTGTCCGTTCAAAAACATCAACAATAACCCGCAACTTACAAAGTACACAATACGGCGATTGCAAATATGCGGTAGAATAAGCAAATATACCCAGCAATTTCAGACACGCCGGTTATTTGTACGTTTCTGTTTGCGCTGAATTAATACGAAAACAATTCAATTTTACAATTATGTGTATTTAATAAAATGTGGCACGGACGCATCGAAGTTTGCTCTCATTTCATAATAATCATTTATTTTGCTCCACCTTATCTATCAATTCTACCAAATATCATAAATATCAAAAAATTTAATAATTACTGGAATTAATTTTATTCTTTTAACAAACTCGGACTGCGTGAATGAAGTAAGAATATATATGCAGCTCATTGAGAAACAAAATTAGGATCTCACAAGCTAACCGTTTATAAAATGTCTCGTTTTACAATAATGCTATAACCGTAGATAGTGGATACTATAATATAAGCTGCGAATTCGTTCCGGATAGGTATGGCCGGCTTTTCGATAAAAGGTAATTTGTGTTAAAACAGAGCAAACTCCAAATTAGCATGCAAATTGGTCGTAGCGATCACCAGCCTTGTAAAATGACTTCGATCAAAATATGCTCGCCGGCTCGTCGGTTAAACAGTGGCGGAGATTTTTAATAGTTTCGTATTTTATTTCAAACTTGAATAGTTGGAGATAAAAATGTATCGTGACGCTGAGAATGTTCGCCGAAAAATAGGATAACACGGTTATGGAATTCACTTGCATTGCAACGATAAATTAAATATGACATCAAAGTATCATATTGAGAATTAGATACACGACTTGAAAATTGAATATAATCCGATTCTTCGATGGCCTACGAAAAATTCATTATTATACAGATATACCGGTACTACTGTCCCAATAACTCGAGGGTTGTGAACTTGACCTTTCGAATACCTACCTTCCGAACAAGCCTCGTGACTTGAAAGGGTCACTTTTGAACTAAGGGTATCCACTGTGGGATGCACGACAAATTGTGAGTTTCGTTTGAAAAAATAAATAAATGCAAAAGCGAGTTGTTTGTGAATCTTTGATGTTCCAACGCCTTGACGGATTTAGGTGAATTTCTGTAAAAGCATATAAACAGCGGTAAGTAAGGACGTGTCTTATTCCCTCGGTGTAGCTACTGAGCGTAGAGTTTGTAATACTTAAATGACTAAGGCCAGAAACACACTGTAACGTCCATTTGTGCGTCGTTTGTTTGATTTTCCACCTAATTTTTATACGAATACGGTTTATGTCAAATGTTTTGACAGACGCATCCGTCGATGCAGCGTTGTGCGATGCCGATTAACATAAAACGTATTCGTAGGAAGGTGGAGGAAGAATCGAATGAACGACGCACAAAATGATGTTGCGTGTGTTTCTCGCCTAACTAAGTTAGATGAACACTAGTACAGAGCATTGTCAAAGTCCTGATTCTCCACTAGGATACTCCTATTTACGAAACGTACTGTAACTATTTTACTTTTTCGGCAAACAAAAAGTGAACTAGGTCGATGTGATTGTTTGCGCAAGAATTGAGGGCCGGAGAATGACAAGGCAATTTTTACCCACCGTAGGAAAATATCGATAGTTGCTGGGGCACAAAGTAAGTTTGAATGGCGCCAATCCAGAGAGCCAGCTTCAAGGAAACGTCGCTATACTGACATAGACGCAATCTCGAACCAGTTCGAGCCGGCTAGTAGCGAGGCGAGCGGAAACAAAATTACGACTCGCAAGTGCTAATATTTTTGTATAGTATGTTATAGTATACGTTTGATATAATGTAGGTATTCTACTTAAGTATGCTTGACCCAGGCACGGCATACTAAAAATCCGGAAAAAATGGTAGCAAGCAACCCTAGAGTGTAGGAATAAATGATTGGCGAGCTGTCCTTCTGTAAACTCTCTATTTTGTGGCTGGGGGGGTAGAAAGCTAGTTAAATATTCAAATATTATTTTAAAATGGTTTTGTAAATAAATTGTGTAAGGGCCCAACTCAATCTTGCCGGATATAAACAAACCCTGCGGCCGGGAAGGGTTCAAGAATTTCACTTATTGTGCGAGTTGGATCAACAAGTTTAAAACTGTTTTGAAATTAATCTTTGGAGATCACATAAATGCATTTACGAAATGGAAATTAGATTTTATGTATTTTTAATATTTGTTCGTTTTCAGTTTTATTTACCTGCTGCGTTAAAGGTCTTGAACGGGCGAGCAAGTTTTTTTACGTAAGGTAGGGACTGTACTTGCACTAAATAGAAAAGCTTAAAAAATATATATTGTTTTACTCCTACCCGTTGCATTATTTATCTTGCATGTTTTTAATATTAAAAAAAAGAAGAAAAAAAGCCTAAAAAGAGGCTGACTTTTCCAGCGTCTAATGAAAACTCCTCGATCTGGTGGGAGTGGGCCGATTTGTGGCCGGATGTCAACATTTGCTTGCGCGATTTGCCTTGGGCCGGCGGCGGTGGAGACCTGGAGAAGCATCGCGCTCGAACCCTTATTCATCTGTTAGATTAGAATAAAGAATCGTTAGTTTACTAGTTCTCATTCTTCTCATAAAAGGCCTGCTACTCCATCCTGCGTCTAATAAAAATCCTTCGATCTCGTGGAAGTGGACCAATTCGTGGCCGGATGTCAACATTTGCTTGCGCGATTTGCCTCGGGCCGGCGGCGAGGCTGGGAGAAGCCTCGTGGTCGGTCCCTTCTTTATCTGAATAGATTTTAAGAGAAAAACACAAGTTTACTAGTTCTCATTCTCATTATGTCTATTCTATAATTTAAATAACATCTTTATTAGGTAAAGTTTTCCTTATTTTAAACATTTCCGGGTGGCAGGTTTTCAGTTATATGGAGATATTTTTAGTTGCTTTTTCAATCAACGAAAGAGCTGTCAATTTGATCATAGTAAACATAATTTGGCCCGAGTGATACAAATGGGTGCGATTTCACTTTACCTTTTTTGCATACTTTTCAAAACAGATGTGGGAATACACACTTTTTTAGTTCATTATCATCATTTTCAGTACAACTTTTTTCACTTGTTATTCTAGAAAATAAATGATTTTGTCTTTTGTTTTTTTCGCTACGCAATTATTATGCTTGTTGTTATTGTTAGTTAATTTGACGTGAGCTAATTTAGATGATTTAAACTGTTCTATCGTAATTGAAAACTAATTAGTGCAAACTGGTACGGAAGAGTGATTTGTGTTCACTTTATTATCGAGTTTTGATAAATCGGTCAGTTTTGATTTTGATTTCATTGTAAAATGATGCATTGCTGCTAGATAAATTATGTTTGATAATTTATATGACATCATATTAATTTTATGAATGTGATAGACGAATTTATCATAAACAAAAATAAATACTTAGGTATTACGTTAATTAAATAATGAACTTTCAAGTTGAGAAAGTTTGGTTCCGAAAAAGCCTAAATTAACACAATTTTTGAATTTAAATCTGTTACCTTCGGCCGGGCTTTCAACCCGGGTTAGTGCGGTACCGTTGCACTGCACTACCAACTGAGCTACCGGAATTTATCAGCTTATTAATGCTCGTTACGAGTTACGGAATCCCAGTACGGAAGTATCTATCTAAGCGGAGTACATATTTTAAAGTGAACATGCAAATTGTGCAGAGTAAGGTTCCGTCTCTTACCTACTCGGCCAATAGCCTACTAATACTTTTCAAAAATCTTGATATGAAGAAACCCATACGTACTGGTTGGCTTTATGTTAAAACTAAAAACTACTAGAAAGAAAAGCAGTGGCATCAATGCGACAGAATGGTAGTGTGGCGGCAGCGACATAGCGTCGACGGCGACGCGGCGGCGGCTCGCAGTCGCTGCGACCGGGGGCTGAAATCACCACGGCAAACATTGACTTTAGACTTTTACTCTTTTACTCACTTAGCCTAACTCCCGGCTGCACTGCAAATCACTCCACTCGAAACGCACGGAGCCTCGGAGTTCTAAAAGTGCGAAAGATTTATTTTAAGAGCGTCTGTTATGGAGCGCATGGAAACGGTATATTTTTGATCGCATTCGTAGTACTGCGACTAATACTGCGATATCTGGGCAAGAAACTGCAGAAGAAACATTTTGATGAAAATGCAATTAGGTATCTTTACTGAATGTAACTTACATCAAAAGTTTTAAAAACTGCGACGACTTCATAACATCTGCTGTAAAATAAGCCACATGGGCGCCATCTTTCTTTTCTGTTTGCCGTACCTTGCCACTTGGCACTAAGGTTGGCCAGCTCTGTTGCACATAATGTTCAAGGAACAATATTGCATTGCAGTTAGCAAATAGCTAGACAGGTCGCTATTTTGTTCCGAGCCATATAGTAGCTGAAGCAAGTGTCTCCCCTGAACATTGACCAATCTACCTGCCTACTAAAACTGCTGGTGTTACGAATATCCTCCTAATTTCAAGTGTCTCAGGATTTACAGGGTACAGTAATTCCAATACAAACGCTAGTCTAATACAATAAACACTGACACGCCTACGGTGAACGGAATTTACCTAAAGCTAAGGATATTATGTCACTGCACCAATTTAATTAAGTTCATGCAAACGATGTGCTCTATATCTAAGGAACCTTGGCATACTTGAATAAAATATTTCATGAGTGAATCCAGGACTATCTGATTTTGAAGTATGAGTAAATCCAGGATTTTCTAATTTCCGATTTTGATAAAGGATGTGCCCCATCTTAGGAAACTCGACATATCTGAATTAATATTTTTTAGGAAAACCTGCATTCAGGGTTTTCAGATTTTCAAAGGATTCAAGAGTCTTGCTGAAAAAAGTCCATTTCAATGTTTAGATACAGTACAGTCATCCATCCATACTATGGTTGAAGTTGATGATACTTCGTATTACCCTGAAAATTTTCAAATAGGACAGAACAAACCCAGTTCTTAAAATATCTATCGCTATTATATCAGCGAGTCAGCGATCCAGAGAATGAAGATTGGTGCACCACTTGGTGGTTCCATAGGTAGTAGAAAAAAGCTGCAGTAGGTGCTTACAGTGCTTACTGCCAGTCTGCGATTTACAACAAAACCTTGCATTTCTTTCGAAATTTCTATAATTTTTTTCCATTAGCGATTGATACGTATTTAGATGCCAATCTATGTATATTTAGAAGATCAAATGGAAATCGTGAGTATACTCGAATCCTCAAGGGGATCTTATTAGCATTTGCTAATTAATTCCACTGGAGTCTCTGGAGAAATAATATCACACCCGTCCTTTTACTATAAACAAAGCTATATGCTAGAATAGGTTTTTTAATCGCTGATATAAACAACATTGCACACTGATGTACGGTTTTTATCCGACTGCCTCAGAAGGAGGGTTATGTTTTTCGAGAGTATGTATGTATGTAAGTATGTATGTATGTATGTATGTGGACAAGAAAATTCTTTTTCACGGGCTACAGCTCAAACGGATGGTTAGATTTTGACATATCGACTACGGAAATATGAATTAGCGTAAGGGACATTTTGGCGATTTTGAGTTATATATATCATTGGATTCAGAATTTCGAGCTCTATCGAATGGTATATATAACTTTTTGATATCTTGAAAAAAATGTCGCTTACCTTAAACAAAAAGTGAGCAAAAGCTTAAAAATCGGGTGTAAAAAGTACTGTTAAGGACATAAAAAATGATGTATGTCCCATACGTTAAATTTTTTATCACATCGGCCAATTGATGTTCCTTACACAAATTACAAATACAAGTTTTTATGTCCGATATGCATCTTACATTAATTTCAAAATAAACATTGGCCCTTACGCAGGCAAACAAACTTTAATAATGAGGTAGGAAACCAAAATAACATTACACTATTATCTCACACTGCCCGCAAATCAAATTCCTCTCATATATTTTTTATGTGACTTCAGAATATCTGTGTGAGCACTTAGATATTTACACCGACCAAGAAAATACAAATTAATGTAAGGGACAAAGTAACAAACATTTAGGAAAGAAGTTAAAGTAATGTACATGACATTATAAAATGTGTTGAAAAATGTTTATGTAACGTACATTTCTTGACCAAAAATTAGGTAAAATTGCAGCAAAAGACATCGTTTTTTCAAAGTTTTAAGGCTATTTAAATAATTAAATAGTCAATTTTACTTATTTTTTTCAATGAAAATGTACAAAGACATGCGTCATGTCAATTAAATAAATATAAACAACAAAATGAATGGTTAGTAACATAGAAACCATGCTCTCTCATTTTTATTGCTTTCATTTAATGAAAGGCCCTTTATTCCATCATCATCACCATCATCTTCCTGCCCTTATCCCAATTTCTTGAGGTCGGCGCAACACGTTTTGTTGAACTTTATTTCATGTTCCATACAAAAGCAAAGATTATTTGAAATTTCTGACCGTTACTAAAATGAACACAAATTAAGTATTGTCTGTCAGAAGAAAACGCACAAATCTTCACGCCGCTTACAGGCAAACCGCTGACATCTCGAATAGTATCGGAAGTGTTCGTTAACTATTGAAAAATTGCTTATTAAATACAGTGTCACTATGTTTGGGTGACAAAGAACCTGTTTATATTGTGATATTAATATTTTTAAATATTAAGGATTATAATTGAAAAGTATGTTAATAACAATACAATATTGCGCAAAACAAAAAGATATAGTTTTTTAGAATTTGTCGTTTTGTTCGATAAAATGTTTTATTTTATTACAAACACAGTATTAATTATTAGAATACTTTAAAAATCAGAAGCTAAAATAGTATACTCGACTCATTATATTATGACACGATCGAGCAAATCGCGGATCCCAGCAAGGTACTGAAAAAGAGTCATCTAAATTCTTCAAATGGTAAAACCGTCACATCAGGTCGAGAGATTCTTGCTGTAGACGAGAACTTCTATGAAAATCTCGCGTTGCATGCACCCAGACCTTTATCTGACGTGAGAGACTCCATTGTTCTCTTCCACCACCTTGCTCTTAGACAGCTTAAGAATACAAAGGCTTCAGGGAAGAGTGGCCCCTGTGCTGCTTAAGGCTGGTGTCATGAAATGGTTGTTCAACTCGGTAATAATAATAACTAGTGGCAAAACCTCAGAGGCGTGGTTACTCCACTCCGCGAAAAGAGACGAAAAGTTTCTCAGTAAGAAACGTTCCCCAGAAACTAAAGGTCAATTTTACTTCTGGACCACGTCTATAAGCTGTTTTTGAGAAAAATTTCGCTGTCATATTTTGCGCGTCCACTAGTACTTAATTTGTTATAATAATTCTAATGATTACAGTCAAAACCTTGTATTGTTTTTATTAACTTTGTATAATTTTGTTTGATTAACAAAAATTTCAACGTAGTTTAAATTTTGAAGTTTTTTTACTGTCAAAGATTAAATGAAAAGTTCCTGTTCGGTTTTTTTGCTAATGACGTTATTTTTTATCGTTCAAAAAGTTTTCTAATGCTTTTTATTCTAATATTTCTCACTTTAAAGTATTGATTAAGAATTTGAATCACATTAGAAGATGTTTATGTTGTTTGTTATACTACATCGTGTCAGAGACGCATTATTCAGAGTATTTCCTTTGAAAATAATTGGTTATAATAAAGTTTTGGGGCAAACTAGTCATAAAAACTTATAGACACGGTGTCCTTCACTGCAAATTTACCTCCTGGTCGATGATGAAGTGTACGTTACATTAATGTTTTTCAAAATTTTCGGTGATTTTAACAGAAAAAATTAACGTAAGGGACATGCCAATTTCTAAACTACAGGGATATCTCAGATGATGATAGCTTTAGCATAAAGAACTCGAAATTCTAAGGAATTTTTCCCTAGAAGTCATTTGAATCGGACTAGAAACAAAAAAGTTATAAAGAATTTTAAAAAATTGGAATCGTTTTTTGGCTCTCCTGAAAAATTGCATTTCGACGCTTGAAAGGCAAAATTATCTAAGCGACATCAGAGTAACTTTACAGGATAGCAGTTTAAAGTTCGGATTTTCAGAAAAAAAATCGTATAAATTTTTGTGATAGTCGTAGAAGCCTAGTTTTTACATATTTGTTTTGTTATATTTTTACCTAAATTTAAGTATACATATCAATAAAGAATAATGCTTAGTTTTAGAGTTAGTGTCGCTTAGTCAAAAATTACCTAAAAATAAATACAGGCAAATTTGACTAACCGACAAGCTGGGAATGACAAAGGTACGGTAAAATTTTGATAAACACCTTTTTTAAGAATTTACGACAGAGTAAAAGTTGCCTAACTAACATGAAAAATACTTCGAATTTGAGGCAAAACTACTTAGTTTACAATTTTTTACTAAATTCTTCCCGGAAATTTGACTTAAATAACATTTGTCAAAGAAAATTTACCTAATTATTTAATTCAAGTCTTATATCAATAACAATAAAAATCAACACTAAGGTACACAGAGGCCTATTTCAGCTAGGATCATCATCACATTAGCCTATAGCAGTCCACTGCTGGATGTAGGCCTCCCCCAGGGTACGCCACAAGGCACGATC